TGGCTACATTCGAACCATGTGGATCTAAATTATACAAATCTTGACAAAAAAAATTTGTATCTCACCTACAAATTTTGAGGTTAACTTAATACGATAAATACAATGCGTGATATAGAACTGATATTGAACAAAACCAGCAAAATCATAACACCAGCTGTAGTGACTGCATAGTTAATATTAAAACAGTATGAACAAAGCAAACTATTAAAAGTTTAAGTTAAATATTGCACTCCAAAGAGTACTGGCAATGTACGAACACGTCTTTTGCTGTAAACAATGTCATTTCAATAATAATATAAATAATACAGAACCCGCCATTTTGAATGCGAATTCTGCCAGGCGCTTCCCGCCGAATTTTCCATTTTTCTCCCTCGCGTGCCGTCCCACGTGCGCTTAATGACGTAAACAAACCAAATCGCCTGCGTACGAGGCTGAAATATCATGATAAAAAACAGCATGATCATAAGAACACATTGGTATCGAAGGTATACTAGACTTAGTTCCGAAATACCACATACTCGAATAGACTTGCCCTCGCTCGTAGTTCAGTTGGCAGGGCATTGGATTAGTATCCCAAAGGTCGCAGGTTCAATTCTCACCGTGGTCAGGCTACCTTTTCAGCCTGCCCGGTGTGGATATACACTCAGAGTAACATCAATCGTACATAATATCAAAACGCACACGAAAAACATCATAACCAACATGCATAGTTCGTAAACACAGTGGAAACAGCTTGACATTATTCTAACCTGGGATGAACCTTATCAAGTTTTAAACAACCATACGCACAACCTCGGTCCCAGGCTCTTTCCTGGGAACGAGTCTGCCACATACATATATTAACCAAAAGAGCGACAGTGTGTGATACACAGATAATAATTTTAGACATTATACTGAACAGTAAATTCTTCTACAATTCATACTAATATTTAAATAAAGAAAATTCTTTCACAACTTGCTCCACTATGAGTATTACTAGTAGTACTAGATACATACTTGAATATACATACTTGAATATATAGTTTGAGACTTTGAGTTGAATTATTGTACAGTTATATTATTAGTTTAAGTATATTTTTTAAAATTCAGCAGTAGCTATACTATAGTGGCTACTATTTTAGTCAACATCACAAAGAATGAAAACAAGAAAAATACATGGCCATCTTGCAATCTTGGCCTTAGTATAAAGGATATCATATTTACATATACACATGCACCTTTTAGCAGCGGACCGTCCTGGAGGGCGAGGGTGGGGGAAATCTCTGAAAAAATCAATGTAAGGTCTGAAAGTTGAAAGCCATGCAAACATTAATGGACAGGAAAAAATCCTGCAACTACATGGAATATTCAGAAATGTATAGAATAAGTTTGCGCACATGCAGCTTCTAAACCGTAAAACAAAGTTCGACGAAACTACAAACTTTGAAAAAATTCCCTCTTCCCAGAATACACAAGGTCCACTCCTAATATTTAAATACGCTAGCCTCTCACACCTAGATAATTTGATTTTCAAGAGAGTTGATTTTCATGAGGGACGTATAAATAATTATATATCAAATTGAAATAAAACCAGGCTTAAGAAAACCAGGCTCTTCTACAAATTTCTAAACTGATTGAAAACTTGGGCTTGAAATAGGTGTCTGCCAATGGTCAAAAGCAACAAGTTGTCATTTGCACATGCCCAAAATGGTGGTCGGTGAAAGGCCAAGAACTGTAGGCATATTTGAGAAAAGAAGAATTTGTAACTGGCAAATAATCAAAATGTCAGGCCATATGATGTTTCTCTTGAGATTACGACGTGCTTCGTCCCACTAGACTGTAAAAAGCCTTTCGATACATCCTTAAACGCCAAGCATAAATTATGGATTCATAAACAAATTCACATGAAGACGTGCACGCGAGTATGGAAACACTCTATTATATATTTCTAAGTTGACTTTATCTACTACAAAAGTGTTATTAATTACAAACATCTGAAAGCAGACAAAGTAAGGCAAACACGTGACAATCAACACGGACAGGAGAATAGTGACGACCACGGTAACTTTTCTGTGAGCACTATTTTTATTGGGAGGTGTTGGAAGACAGGAGGAGTCCTGGGACGGGTTTTGGTTGACAACCGTACGGTGTATTTCTCTGCGTTGTAACATTCATACAATATAAATATGGGTGTAATGAGGAACAGAGCGCTGATTTCCACGATTAAACATATGACGAATTGCGCGTAGTATCGCCTGTAGTGAATGGCAATTCCACATCCGATTGAGAGGAGCCAGACAGCGAGAATGCAAAGCAGTGAACGAGGAATCGTTAATAATGTTGACCACTCCATTGGTAACGTGACAATAAGCAATCTTTCCGCTGCCATGAGGATTACAGTGAGTAAGGACGCGCAAAATGCAATCACTCTTATATTCGATGTCTTTGATAGGCTGGCTTAGTACGATGAGAAATAGACCACACAGACAATCTGCCAAAGCGAGGTTGGCAACGAGAAACGAAATTCTTGTGACAAATATCTTCTTTCTCTCTTTGTACATTGAAGCTAAAAGAACGCCATTAAGAACGATCGCCAAGATGCCAAATATATACAATAAAACTTGATTGCCTTGTACACCAGTGGACGGCATGCTTGCTATTTCTAAAATAATAATGATAAACAGAATACCTATGAGGATCTCTTCAATATATAGGAGACTTGTTAAACGGGAACATGTAAAGATGAAATCAAAGCGGAAATAGATTATAAAGAATGGATACGTTTTCAAGGTGCGTTTTATGTTACACCCGGGCGTGACGAAGAAGCAGTTATACTTGTGTTTTATTTTTGGATTTGTTGCCAGTGTAAATTTGTTTTTTCTGCTGTGTCCGTGTTTCTTTACAAGAACGTCCATAGCTGTTGGCTGACACTGACGTTTTTGTGCAGTAGATATATTACTATAGCCTTTAACCTGTAACCCTTAGCCAATCAGCGACGTAGAAAATTCGTTTTGCAAGCGTCTGAATGTTTTGCTATTTTAATATTTTGATAATATTTGCCTTCATACTGATAATATTGCAGCCAGCCGGTTTCACAATCACATGCATAAATATTTTATATTTATAATTATAAAAGTGCGTAGATAATTTTCTAGATTTATTTCCTATACATTAATATAAGTAGTTAATTTTATTTTTTATTCAAACAATATTTGCAATAGCCCATCACATTTGCCAATGGTAAATTTCCTCATAAATTAATCATGTCCTGGTATGATACTCGGCAATTATTGACGGTGTTTCACTGTAATAAAAGGCTTTCAGGAGGGCTACATGCATCTTTTGAAGGCTGCTGGGATCAACTTCATCAAGAGCGTTTAATTAATCAACTTCATAAAGAGCGTTTAATTGAGTATTTCAGTTCTAAAATTGTGTGTGTATTGTTAATTGTATGTGTGTGTGTGTGTGTGTGTGTGTTTGTCTGTGAGCACGATAACTCAAGAAATACCAGACATAACCGTACGAAATTTTGTGACTGCATTTCCCATCGGCTAAGGAAAAACTGATTAAAATTTGGTTGAATTTGGTTAAAAATTGAATGAGAAATAACAAAAGTTTGTCTTGCTTTTCCCTTGCATAATATACGCACCAGCCATTCAAATTCTAATAACAATAGATTTCTTCAATATTTTGCGCGTAGGCGGAGGTATGCAGTCTGTGAGTGCCCTCTAGTTTTCCATGTGTTTGTTTAGTTTTGGCGATTTCAGATATATTCATTTTTTCTAATCGTACCCGCTTTGACGTCGTTTCGGGTAGGATTACAACTAATTCTACCTGACATGACGTAAAAGCGGGTAGGATTAGAAAAAATGAATATAATGAGGTGTATTAGTTATTAATTGCCCTCCGAGAACAAAGGGAATACCCGCAATCATGATATTATCAGAGTAACATCACAAGCAACAATTACTTAGTTCGTAAACACAGTGGAAACATGCAGCTGGACATTATTCTAACCTGGGATGAACCTTATATATCAGATTTTAAACAACCATACGCACAACCTCGTTCCCAGGTTCTTTCCTGGGAACGAGGTTGCAACATACACAAAAGAGCGACAGTGTGTGGAAACAGATAATAATTTTAGACATTATACTGAACATGAAGTAAATTCTTCTACAATTCATTCTAATATGTAAATAAAGAAAATTCTTTCATAACTTGCTCCACTATGAGTATTACTGATAGTACTAGTTACACACGTGAATATACATATTTGAATATATAGTTTATTTGAGACTTTGAGTTGAATTATTGTACAGTTATATATTATTAGTTTGAGTATAGTTTATTAAAGTCCAGCACTATAGTTAATAATTATTTACTAGTGGCTACGTACTATTTCAGTTCACATCACAAAGAATGAAAACAAGAAAAATACATGGCCCATTATGCAATCTAGGCCTTAGTACGGACATCATATTTACATATACACATGGACCATTTAGGAGTGGACCGCCCTGGAGTGAGGAGGTGGGGGGATTCCTGAAGAAATCTATGTATGTAAGGTGTGAATGTTGAAAGTCATGCAAACATTAATGGACAGGAAAAACTCATTCCTACAACTACATAGAATATTCTGAAATATATAGAATAAGTTCCTGCACAACTTCTAAACCGTAAAACAAAGTTCGACAAAACTCCGAACTTTGAAAAAATTTCCTCCTCCCAGAATAAATAAGGTCCACTCCTAATATTTAAACACGCTAGCCTCTCACAATTTGATTTTCAAGAGAGTTGATTTTCAAGAGGGACGTATAAATAATTATATATCAAATTGAAATAAAACCAGGCTTAAGAAAACCAGGTTCTTCTACAAATTTCTAAACCGATTGAAATCTAGGGCTTGAAATTGGTGTCTGCTAATGGTCAAAAGCAACAAGTTGCCGTCTGCACATGGCCAAAATACCGGTCAGGCCATATGATCTTTCTATTTCTGGCCCTGAGAATCGTACTTGAGATTACGACGAGCTTCGTCCCACTAGACTGTAAAAGGCCTTTCGATACATTCTTAAACGCCAAGCATAAATTATGGGATTCATAAAGAAATTCACATAAAGAAGTGCAAACGCGTATGTAAGTACTATATGATATACTTCTAAGTTGACTTTATCTGCTACAGTTTTATCAAAAGTGTTATTAATTACAAACATCTGAATGCATGCAAAGTAAGGCACACACGTGATAATCATCACGGACAGGAGAATGGTGACGACCACGGTAACTTTTCTGTGAGCATTATTTTTATTGGGAGGTGTTGGAAGACAGGGGGAGTCCTGGGACGGGTTTTTGTTGACGACCATACGTTGTATTTCTCTGCGTTGTAACATCCGTACAATGTAAATATGGGTTGCAATGAGGAACAGAGAGCTGATTTCCACGATTAAACATGTCACGAACTGCGCGTAGTATCGCTTGTAGTGAATGGCAACTCCACATCCGATTGAGAGAAGCCAGACAGCGAGAATGCAAAGCAGTGAACGAGGGATCGTTAATAATGTTGACCACTCCATTGGTAACGTGACAATAAGCAATCTTTCCGCTGCCATGAGGATTACAGTGAGTAAGGATGCGCAAAATGCAGTCCATACCAAAGGAAGTTCTACAAGTAACCGAGTGTTATTCTTATACTCGATCTCTGTGATAGGCTGCCTTAGTATGATGAGAAATAAACCATTCAGACAATCTGCAAAAGCGAGGTTGGCAACAAGAAACGAAATTCTTGTGACAAATATCTTCTTTCTCTCTTTGTACATTGAAGCTAAAAGAACGCCATTAAGAACGATCGCCAAGATGCCAAATATATACAATAAAACTTGATTGCCTTGTACACCAGTGGACGGCATGCTTGCTATTCCTAAAATAATAATGATAAACAGAATATCTATGAGGATCTCTTCAATATATAGGAGACTTGTTAAACGGGAACATGTAAAGATGAAATCAAAACGGAAATAGATTCTAAAAAATGGGTACGTTTTCATGGGCGTGACGAAGAAACAGTTATACTTGTGTTTTATTTTTGGATTTGTTGCCAGTGTAAATTTTTTTTTTTTCTGCTATGTCCGTGTTTCTTTACAAGAACGTCCATAGTTGTTGGCTGACACTGAGGTTTTGTGCACCAGATATATTTCTATAGCCGTTAACCTGTAACCCTTAGCCAATCAGCGACTTAGAAAATTCGTTTTGCGTCTGAATGTTTTGCTATTTTAATATTTTGATAATATTTGCCATCATACTGATAATATTGCAGCCAGCCGGTTTCGCAATCACATGCATAAATATTTTATATATATAATTATAAAAGTTCGTAGATAATTTTCTATATTTATTTCCTATACATTAATATAAGTAGTTAATTTTATTTTTTATTCAAACAATGTTTGCAATAGCCCATCACATTTGCCAATGGTAAATTTACTCATAAATTAATCATGTCCTGGTATGATACTCGGCAATTATTGACGGTGTTTCACTGTAAAAACAGGCTTTCGCGGGAGGATTACATCTTTTGAAGGCTGCTGGGATCAACTTCATAAAGAGGGTTTAATTAATCAACTTCATAAAGAGCGTTTAATTGAGCGTTTCATTTCTAAAATTGTGTGTGTATAGGTGTGTATTTGTGTGTTTGCGTGTAAGCTTAGGCAGCTTGTTTCATCAAAGAGGAATCAGCTTTCAAATTAAGGTAAAACTAGACCATCTGCTCCCTCTATATGATATCGAACTGCCAGACACATACGTATAGACATAAATTGCAAGAAATATGTTACTGAGTAGTTGGTGTGTGTCGTACCTCCTATCTTTCGTAGTATTTTTTTCAGTTTATGTTGTTAATCTTCACTTCTCGCGGCAACTTTCAATTTAGTCGGAAATTCTGGTGAAAATTCTGACTTTTCTTTTCAACTTCCAAGTTCCAACTGCCTCAAAACAACACTTGTCGTTAATGCTCTTACCAGAAAATTATTTTAGTAATATTACGTGACAAGTCAGATCTCATATACGTCAACTCGTCACCAGACTGCTAAAATTTTCAACTTTTATTCTGCCAAATATTAGGTAGTTTCAAACGTGAAATGAACGTGAATAATCTATTCATTAACAGTATTAAATGGAGATTTTCTAGACTAAATAAGCTATACGTTGATTATTAGATAAAGAACTGTACAAACGCAAAGAATATTTAGCAGAAGGATGTGTGTTAAAATTCGGTTTCTTGCCAACATACCCACTTAGACAAGGTGCTTACATGCAAATAACTATGCTGCCATAAAGTACAAATATTTTTCCAGGTATTTCCATAAAATTTGCATCTCACACACGTAGCGTCAACTCTTCAGGGAGATAGGCTCTTTGCAGTTGGATATAAGTAGTTGAGAGCAATAAGTGACTGGATAGAATAGACAGCTGTTGGATAACCGAGTTTATAATAAAGAATATACTTATATGTTATAATTATAATCAATGCCTGCGTAAGTCACATAATATTTTTCTTCACTTTAACCTTTCCTGCATCTCAAAATTTCACATGTCAAATAAATTAAAAATTTTACCGACTGTATCTTGAAATATTTTATAATGTGTAATCCTCATTAGCATTCAGTACATATCAGCACGTAGTTCTACCCGGTGTTTAGTTCAGATGAGCTACGATCCAACACTTTGTGGATAAACCTACAGACATTGGCAGCTCGAATGGCGTTTCTCCAAATAAATATCCCCCTCTCCCCCAAATCAATGTTGAAACGAATTTTTCATAAAGATAAACGACGTGAATATAATGCGGATATGCAACAGTAAAATTGTTGAGTGTTAAATTTAACGTTATGGCAATAAAATATTTCATGTATTTACAATGCAGATATGCAACATTGACGATGACGATGGGGAGTGTAATGTGGCGGATATGTGCATGGATGTTTCCTAAGAGGGTTAAAAGCACCAAATTGTGCACAGTAGCATCTTTTTATGAGTAGAACAACATGCAAAAGTGGTGCCATCGTGAAACTGTTTTTTTTAGAGAGTTACGATGCTATTAGCATTATTTGCTATTAAATTCTAGTGCAACAAAAAATGTGAAATTTTGAATTCAATCGCGACAAATATAACTTGTATCATCAGAAAGCTTGTAAAAAACTACATAAAAGACTTTTAAACAGTTTTTTACTCTTCCAATGGTTATTGCTGTAAATTAGGCACATTATCTCGCTAAAATCCCTAATTAATTATTCGATGTTTGAAAATGTGTTTTTAACAGTTTATAATTCGAAAACTATTTCAGAAATCAAAAACCTGTCTAAACGTCCTATATGCAGTTTTTTCTAAGCTTTCTGATGATGCAAGTCATATTTGTTGTAATTGAATACAAAATTTCACATTTTTTCGCTATAATAGAATTCAATACCAATGGTCCCACTTCAAATATCTATTAAGCAGATAAAACTACATCAATTGTAAAAGTTTGATGTTTTTAACCTCAACGGGAACTACTGATCAATAATTTTACACATATCCGCCTCACTAGTGGGGAATATGCATGTAAAGTCAAGTTTTAATTTAGCTGTTTGTTAGGAGTTTTGCAAAAGTGGATTAGGTTTGAACATTAATTTTGGCCTGGATTGTATCTCAAATTGGCTCTCAAATTGTGGCCGCAACACGTCTGAATGAACATTGCATTATTGACGAACACCTGACCTCAAGGCAGCAATTTACAACTGGTAGTATACTGTAGGCATATATCACTTGAAAAGGATCGTAGGCGACGGAACGGAGGGGTTCCCCAAATAAAAGTGAATTAAATTAAAATTTTGAATTTTATATTTAAACAGGAAATATGTTGGGTCATATCTTGGTCAGTATGTGTAAATTAGTTCACCCCCCCCCCCCACCCCAACCCTTCTTCCATCTTGGTTTAAAAACCGTGCCGATTAAAGATTAATCGGCACAGAAATTTAACTGATAAAATCGACTATTACATAAACAACGTCCAATTTTATATTTTTTGAACTCTAATTTTGCAGGTATGAATTGAACATTAATGTCATGAAATTTCTCACAAAACAGAACACAATGGCAGGTATGGCTGTGATCAGTACGTTGAAGACATTAATCAGTACAATGTTTCTGGTCATTTGATATTATAAATATTTCCCCCAAACATGCACGCGTTCGATTTTTCATTATTACTTCTCGAACCGTGTAATTCGCTTTACTAAAATTGGAATACAAAATGAAGGCCCAAAGTTATAACATTAAAACACCTACAATATTCAAATAATAATTGGCGATCTAGATTAATATTTCGCTCAGCGTTACGCCGGAATTGCAAGGCTGCATGCAAGTTCGATCCCTGCCAGAGATCCTAAATTGCATAGTTCGCAACTGCATCCGGTTAGATCTAATTATAAATGTATAAAATTCACACATGAAATTTCCATCAACTTAGGAAACCCTTATACCACTTGACTTTTATCAAGTGTCATTAAAATATCGTATGATAAATTAAGGTTTTACTGCTAAAGCCCAACAAAAATGTTATTTGGAAAAAATCATACTCCAAATATTGTAGAGCGTTTGCACATAGAATAGAATAGAATAGAATAGAATAGAATAGAATAGAATAGAATAGAAACTTTATTTCACGAGGGAAAAACCCCGTATTACCCGTAAAAGTTATCTAACATACGGCCCTCGCACTATTGTGATATTTACAGGCATAAAAAGTATTAAAGATTACGACTATTTACATTTGAGAAAAAAATAATTAGTAATGAATACAATTACAATTTAGTAAATATTTACAATGTATACAAAATAGATCTTCGATATGGTTAGTAAGGTTAAGCTTGTTAAGAAAGATTTTACGAATTTTTTGTTTGGCGTTAGTATATGAAGAGCAAGACGTCACAGCCGCCATGTTGGTGGTCCAATTCGAAAGAATTTAAATTAGACTCTTTTGTCTGGAACACCAACATGGAGGCCATGGCTTTTGTTGAGTTGGTCCCTGAAAATGCTCTATAGCAACAAAATTTAGACCAAAAATACGAATAAAAATTGAAATAGATCTACCTTTTCTGGGTAAACCTTTTTCTGAGACAGAAAAAGATTTTAAAGTGAAAAAATCTTACAGAACAATCAAGCCGGGCAAAACGTCATAAAGGGCATAATTATGACTCGAAAATTGACGGTGTTATATTTTAGTCTAATTTTAAAGATCATTGAAAACTGTAGAGTACCTTTTTTGACAGGTTTTTTTTTCTCGCTTCGTTTTGGAGATATTTTGTTTGGAGAACCTACATGGTTGTTGTTGTGGACAAATCTCGTGCTAATCGTTCATTTTGAGCGAATTTATTTGATAGCGACAAAATTATATAAAATTTTAAAACGAGTCATTATGCATATGTGACGTAGAAAGTTGGTCCTTCACGTATCATACAAAATGAAATATCACCAAAACGAAGCAAGAAAACAAAAATCTGTTAAAGCTATACTCTACAGTTTTCAATGATCTTTCAAATTAGACTAAAAATAGCACCGTCATGTTCAATTTTTGAGTCATATGCCCTTTAAACATATATACAGCGGCACGAATTTCGTGAGAAAAAACGTAGCTTTTGTTTTTTTTGTTAGAAATGGTAATTATAGTAATTACATTTATCACTGATATCAGAAAATTGGAAAAGATCATAAGTATGAGCTCATATGGATAAGTTTTTTTCTATCTCTCCTACAAGAACTGCAGGGAAGATCATATAAAAAAGCATGGGGAAGTACTGTACTAGCCAGGCATTCACTCCTAATTTTATGCGCGAATATGTAGCTATGCATATCTTCCGCCTTTAGATATCTT